TAGCTGGGTTTGTCCCTTTTTAACCCAGCGCTGGGTTATATTTAACCCAGCATTTTTTAGAGTGTAGAGTTATCCTGATGGCCATCTTTCTATAATTCACCTGCTATGAGTTCAACAACATCCCAGAAGCATTTAATAGACACAAAATGAGCCTTTGGGGGGAACATGAGAGCTTTTATGGAAAACAGCAACTTTATATTCAACTTTAAAATGAACCAATTGCCTGCACAAGTTATCACTCTAAAAAATGCTGGGTTAAATACAACCCAGCACTGGGTAAAATATGGACAAACCCAGCGATGTTTAACCCAACCGCTGGGTAGTAACCCAAATGTTGGGTCAAAACAACCCATTTTAGAGTGTAGTCTAGTTTAATGTTAAATAACTTTAAGTTGAAATTCATTGGTTCAATTATTTTAATGAGTTAAAATAATGAAAAAAACATATGTTGACTTACTGATCATATAATTTTTTTAGTGTACTGCACTACATTAGTATCTACACACATACTGCAGAATATAAAGCTGTCAACATAGTACACTCTAAAAAGTGCTGGGTTAAATACAACCCAGTGCTGGGGTGCAATTGGGCTGTTTTGACCCAGCGGTTGGGTTAAATGTTTAACCCAACCTTCTGGGTAGTAACCCAACCGCTGGGTCAAAACAACCCAATTGCTGGGTTTGTCCCTATTTTACCCAGCACTGGGTTGTATTTAACCCAGCATTTTTTAGAGTGTAATAAAGTAAAAGCATTCAGAAGGTCACTGCTCACCATTTTAATAAACGATCCTCTGTAAATGGCTAAGCTGCACCTAATTAAGCAAGCAACTGTCCCTAAGACACCCTCAAGTCATTTTATTGGACTGACGAAGAGTTTTTACCATTCATTAATGCTCAGTCTCGTTCAATCACTTGCGCTGTCTGTTCTCTTTAAAATATTGATCCTCATGTCACATGTGTATGTATGTGAGTGTGTAAACCTTCCCAGCTTTCCCCATATCCACTTGTGATGGGTCCGCAGTGATTTCCCGAGGGTCAGGTAAACTGTAATCCAACTGGAACATTCTTCTCGCTGATAGTTTGTGCCATTCTTGCTGCTCGTTCCTGGCCTAGTGCTCTCTAGGCCACAGATACATCAACCTAATGATGGCAGTAATAAAACACAATTATGTTTCCAGCAACAACTGTACATACAGCGAACAACTGCACACCGAAATCACAAGCCTTGCTTTTCTCAAACCTGACTTCAAAAATGTAGGATTTAGGAAGAGTCTGGGACACGAAATGACGTTCATTACTGTATGGACACGGTGTGCGCAAAGCGTGACGCATCTGTTTTCTGCCCTTGGGTATCAGCTTGTCAGGACGAGGACTTGTGAGCTCCACCGACGTGACACTGACTTCATTCTCCAGAGACGTCCAGTCAACACAAGGGTGTTTCAGATCCTTCAGCGCTCTGTCACTAATATTGATCAGCCGGCCTCTTATCCAACACAGAGAAATGAACTAGGTGGCAAATGAAGCAGTTTGCTTTCCACAGCGTCCTTCATGAGAACCTGCGATCAAACACCGTCCCACAAACCAGCAGCATTTCCACTGTGAAATGAATCAGATATAGTAGAAATGCAGATTTCAGTATCATTTTCTATTGAAATTATGACATTAGATTTTTATTCTGTATCTTTTAAACCTCAAGTCCTCTGTCAGTACATTCAACCTGATGCTTCTCTTTCCACAATTCACCTAGTGTGAGTTCAACAACATCTCCAGAAGCATTCAACAGACACAAAATGAGCCCTTTGAGGGGAATATTTATGGAAAATGGCAATGTTTCCAATTTAAAATGAGTCAGATATGGTAGCTAGAACACTCCTAATGAAAATGTATGGTTTCATTGTTGTCTTCTCTTGATTTTATTGAAATTGTCATTACATTTTTTTTTCAAAACCACTTAAAGGGGTCATATGATGCGATTTCAATTTTTCCTTTCTCTTTGGAGTGTTACAAGCTCTTGGTGCATAAAGAAGATCTGTAAAGTTGCAAAGACTAAAGTCTCAAATCCAAAGAAATATTCTTTATAAAAGTTAAGAGTCAGCCACGCCTACCTAAAACGGCTCGTTCTAACACACCCCACATGTCTACGTCACGATGTGAGAAGATTTGCATAACGCCGCCCAAACGTTCACGCAAAGAAAGAAGGCGTAACCTTTATTCTCGCTGTAGTATTGTTGTTGCCATGTCGTGAAGACGCTGTGTGTTT